TAAAGGGGGAGATCAAAAGTAAGGGGAGAGTGAGGAGACAAGGGAAGTGAGGAGAGGAGATGCGGGAGAAAAGCGTGTGCATTAAACTTGCAAGTGGAAACAAGTGTAAGGGCAAAATGAAAGCAAACATGCCGTGACCTAGAAAATCTAGAACATTCCCAAACAAGCTAGATTAACACGGGGACAATTGTAGCTCCCTAGGTTCTCATTTATATTCTGAAAACACATTTGGTAAAGAACATACAAACTCATAGATGACTAAGCAGTATTCATTCCAGGAAAAAACAAGAAGCTTATAGCTGGATGAATGCTGGAAACTACTAACCGAGATCATCTTTACACTGTCAACCCCCAAACGCCCGCGGACACCTTCTTCAAACCAACCGTTTACTTCAAAGTGAAGACCGCCTACCTGAAATAGTGTGCTATCTATCTTGAGATCAATTTGACAACAGTGAGCTCAAAATATTTTCCGTTCAAAAGATTAGACGGGAAACTTAGAGGGCAGTGAGTCCTTGTTGATGGGGAGGGACAGTTGGAAAAAGGGGGTATAAGGGGTTATACAACTCAAAGAACGTTCTTAACGTCTCTGAATTGTACACGCGACAACTATTGAATTGGTTTGCTTTGCTGTGTGTAGTCTCAACAACAAAATAAATCTAAGAATGAAAAACTTCAGGTATGCAGCGATTGCACTATAATTTAGAAGTCCCAAATCTGATCTTTTGCTTATTAAAAGTGAAATGATTCAAACAAGCATTTAGTTTTCTTACATTCTTCAATTTACTGAAGTCAACTGAAAATAAAGCCACATGTTTAACAAGTGTTGGTGACCAACTTTTAATGATACATATTTAATTTTCAGAAACATATGCTAACCATCAACAACATTGTCAGGGGGATGCTGCCCCAGATGTTATTTCATTGGTACATTATATCAATATTTACAAAGGCTTTCAAATTCAACAACTCAAAACAAAAACAGCTTAAGTTTTAAAACTACAATGCTTTAAAAAATGTAAACAGTTTACTTTTTACATTATTGTAAAAAAGAAGACTCACTCCTTAATGCGGCTTCATTTTTTTTTTAAGTGAGCAAAGCCTGGTGCTCATGAATAAAGAATGAAAATAATTCTTTACATAGAAACATTGTGCTCCAGTGTGGCAAAAAAAAAATTACCCAAACACATACAAAGCAAAGACTCTCAAGTCCACAATTTAGACCACAAAAAAATCTTGTCCTCCAAGTTGAGAAATTTATAAAAACAATTTACACATGGCTATTGACCTAGTGAAAATCTAGATAACATTTTCAAAAACAGTAACTCAGACAAAAGATACCACTTTTCTTAAAAAATGAAATTCTGTGCACAAGAAAGTTAACCTAGAAACAAGACTCCCCGTTCCCCACTGGTAAGAAGCTGAAAGAGCCACGGAAATAATTTAACTCGGTTAGTTTTAGTGCATGTAACCAAAAGGCACACACATGTGATTAATATATTAATATATATTCATGCAGAAAATTGTGCATGTTCACAATTAATAATAAAAACACAAACATAACAACACATAAAGTCTAACGCTTGGCAATGTTATTCTAGTCACCTTCTTTTCTAGCCTAGAAGCCCAGGGTTTACTAGATCATCAACATTGCCTCTCCAAAAAATATATTATATTTGAACAACTTTCAATTAAAAACTAAAAAAGATGTCAGCCTGAAGCATTATAATATTATTTTTTTCCAGTTCTGATACATATAGAAATTTACTGATATATTTCTTTGAATGTGGTTTCAAATTAAGACACATGTTTCCTTTTATTAATAAACACTTTGATTGCTCCGGTGAAGTCAGCTGAGAGAAGAACTTCTGTGTTGTCTGCCTTTGTTGCACCTTCAAAAAAAAGAAGTAAAAGCTTTTGGTTGGTACTGAGGAACACAGGAAGCCTGCCACCACAACTGCCCCATGCCCAAGAGCCTCCGGATTCTCTCCAGGCCTTTTTGGTCTCTGTATTTGGACTCCTTCCTGTAACTCCCTTCACTCTGTTGCACCTTTCCTCCTCTCTGAGGCTCATTTCTACTGACTTGTCTGAGCTGGTCCTTTCCTAGTTTGGGATAAACTGTATATACTCATGTATAAGCCGAGTTTTGCAGCACATTAAAAAAATCATTTTATTGGGGGCTCGTATAACTCTTATCACAATCCATCCATCCATCCATTGTGTCAACACATTTGTACAATTGTTGCCATCATCGTTCTCAAAACATTTGATTTCTACTTGAGCCCTTGGAATCAGCTCATTTTTCCCTTCCCTCCCTGCCACCCCCTCATGAACCCTTGATAATTTAGAAATCTTTATTTTGTCATATCTTACACTGTCCAATGTCTCCTTTCATTCACTTTTCTTTTGTCCGTCACCCAGGGAGGGGGTTATATGTAGATCCTTGTGATCGGTTCCCCCTTCCTACCACACCTTCCCCTTACCCTCCTGGTATCACTACTCTTATTATTGGTCCTGCGGGGTTTATCTGTCCTGGATTCCCTGTGTTTCCAGTTCTTATCTGTACCAGTGTACATGCTCTGGTCTAGCCGGATTTGTAAGGTAGAATTGGGATCATGATAGTTGGGGGGAGGAAGCATTAAAGAACTAGAGGAAAGCTATGTGTTTCATCATTGCTATACTGCACCCTGACTGGCTCATCTCTTCCCTGTGACCTCTCTGTGAGGGGATGTCCAATTGTCTACAGATGGGCGTTGGGTCTCCACTCCATGCTGCCCTCCTCCCATTCACATTGCGTATGATTTTGTTCTGGGTCTTAGATGCCTGATACCTGATCCCATTGATATCTCATGATCACACAGGCTGGTGTGCTTCTTCCATGTGGGTTTTGTTGCTTCAGCTAGATGGTGCATCTCAGCTAGATGGTGCCTGTTTATCTTCAAGCCTTTAAGACCCCATATAGGATATCTTTTGATAGCTGGGCACCATCAGCTTTTTTCACCACATTTGATTATGCACCGGATTTGTCTTCAGCGATCTTGTCAGGAAGGTGAGCATCATAGAATGCCAGGTTATTAGAACAAAGTTTTCTTGCATTAAGGGGGTACTTGAGTAGAGGCCCAATGTCCATCTGCTACCTTAATACTAAACCTATAAATATATGCACATAGATCTATTTCCCCATTGTCATACATGAATACATTTACATATGTACATGTCTGACTTTAGACCTCTGTAAATGCCCTTTGCTTGCTAGCTCTTTCCTTTATTTCCTTTGACTTTCCTCTTCTTGTCCCACTGTCATGCTCAGCCTTCATCTGGGTTTTAGTAATTCCTCTGGGTTACATTGCCTTTGTTCAAGCCCTACTAGGTTTCCTACACCCTCCTTGCCATCGGTTTTCGATCAGCAATTTTTAATGCAGTTTTTATGGTAAAATTAGGTGCCTTGGATAATATTCAGGTCAGCTTATATTCAAGTATCTAGGTATTTCTTGGGGGTCTGGATCCCTGGGCTCGGGTAGTCTAGGCCTCAATACTAATGGCTCATGTCATTTGGCCCGAAGGGTGGGAAAGATGGCAGAATAAGAACAGCAAGGCATGCCTGATGTTGGCAGTGGTTTCTAATCAGGCCGACTGTATGCTTTAGTCTACAGCTGACATACTAACGTGGCTCTGTGTATGTTTACAGCACTTTTGACTCTTTAGTTTGTACTGTAATGCAGCTATGCTGAAAAGCAAAAATGCCTGCTTCTGATGTTTGTCAGTTGTTTCACAAACATTTCAAAAAACAAATTCATGTCAACTGCCTGTATCACACATTAGGCAAACTGTAGATTTAAGTACTGGTTAGAATAGAAGAAAAGAATGCAAAGTTTAATTGTGGTGGTGTGTACAGAAGGCGCAAGGCAAATGATTTCTCTTAGATCTGCTAAAAACATATCCTAAGCCTCTTAATAGTCCTTACCACCTTTTCAACATATCCCAAACACGTGCTGTGTACTAGCAGCAGCAGCAGCAGCAAAGGATGAAGGGATATGAGAAAGATTAGAAAAGAATCAATCATATACATACAAGGCTTTATATTATATAATCCTGGAGAAGACCCTAATGGTGTATAATATATGCAAGGCATTTTGCAAAGTGTTGTACATATGTTATTTTTAATTATTATCATAAAACTCTGTCAACTCCATTATCATACAACTCTGTCAACTCCATATTGTCACCATTCTATACATGAGGAAAACAAGCTCAAATTATCATGAAGAAAAAGAATGGGCAATGAAATGTATTTTATGATCCTATATTTTTGGGTTTAAAAGACTTCCCTTAGCTCACAGCTATTGTTTTCCTATGAGTCATAGTGACCCTATATGACAGAGTAGAACTGTCTGAGGGTGTCCTAGGCTATAACCTCTATGGGAGCAGAAATTCTGGTCAATCTTCTGAGGAACTGCTGGTAGGTCAGAACTATTAACCTTTCAGTTAGCAGCTGAATAGCTAACCATTGCATCAGCAGGGCTGCCTAGATACACCTTTTTAGAAAAGGACAGGTGAATCTACAGCAACAGTAACTAGAATACGGGTCCTGGGGGGTACAGCAGAGACGGTGGGGAGGAGCTGCTGCCAAGAAGTTCAGGAAGAAATGTTTTGAAACTGATTGTAGGTCACGAGTGTACAACACTGCATGATATAATTGAACTATGGAATGGTATGATGTCTCAATTAGCTCCTGATAAAATGGTTTTTGGAGCAAAAAGAAGGATCTAGTGAAGTGTCTGAAGTTTAGTTCCATTAGAAGTTAAAAATACAAACCAAAAAAAGCATGTACCCTTCATTTTCCCATGAAATTTGGAAAGCTATAATTTTTTGTAAGATGTGTAAGGGATATCGAGGATAAAAATGTATCACTAGAAAAGAGAAAGGCAAATGACTTGGAAGAAAGCAGCAGCTGGATTTGATTGTGAGAGGATATAGAAGACAGAGAGAGAGAACAAAAACTATTTTCCACTAGTCAATTTTAATGGGTGAATAATTTGGATTCAGAGTCATTTTCAATCTTTTGAAATGAAAGGAAGGACCAGACTGAACTTCACTTTTATCAAAATTTTTCTTCAAGAGAAAAGACTTGGATAGTAGAAATATGCATACTACCACTAGAGAGTGACTTGAGATTAAATTACATAGCTATACTTGAGAACCTTTCAGCATTTAAATATTTTTAGAAGCATTCTTAGTACACCATATATACAGTATCTATTGTTGGGTCTGTCTCTCTAAAATGCCTGTCTGTCTCTAGAGTATATAAACACGTTCAACAAACTACCCTCTGGTTGATTTTAATAATATGAACTTGTTTTCCTTAACAGTCTAAATCACATGGTCTCACCATACTCTTTTTGACTAGCAGATATCATTTTTACATGATTGGGACTCACTACTACTTGGTGGTTTCATTTCACTGCAGAATTTGAGGATTTTATATAACTGGAGTTAACTTCTGAAACTATATGCTTCAAATGGCAAGAAATTACAGCCCTGTAAACTGTTGTCTACCTTGAGAAGCTGTTAATTTGTGGCAAGTAGAAAAGAACAACACTTTTACATTGTTTTAATTCACTCATCCAGCACATACAGTGCCAAGACACTGCGATACAACTCTTAAATGAGAAATATCAAGCCTATGCCCTCCTGGAGGCTACACTTTTGTAGAAGAGAAGATTTTTAAAAAAAATCATTTTATTGGGGGCTCATACAACTCTTATCACAATCCACAATTCCATCCATTGTGTCAAGCACTTTTGTAAATTTGTTGCCATCATTATTTTCAAAACATTTTCTTTCTACTTGAGTCCTTGGTATCAATTCCTCATTTTCCCCCCTCCCTCCCAGCTCCCCCCTCCCTCATGAACCCTTGATAATTTA